CGTAGTAACTTGTCCTTGTGTGTTTACACTGGGGTATGTTTTGTCCTTGTGTGTTGAGGCTGTTGTAGAACCGGACTTAGTGTGTAGGCGCTGTAGTATATCTTGTCCTTGTGTGTTTACACCGGGGTATGTTTTGTCCTTGTGTGTTGACACTGCGGTATGTTTTGTCCTTGTGCGTTGACACTGTAGCATAGTTTGTCCTTTTGTGTTGACGCTATGGGAGAACCGGTCTTAGTGTGTGGACGCTGTAGTATATCTTGTCCTCGTGTGTTTACACTGGGGTATGTTTTGTCCTTGTGCGTTGACACTGTAGCATAGTTTGTCCTTTTGTGTTGACGCTGTGTTAGAAACGGTCTTAGTGTGTTGACGCTGTGGTATGTTTTGTCCTTGTGTGTTGAGGCTGTTGTAGAACCGGTCTTAGTGTGTAGGCGCTGTAGTATATCTTGTCCTTGTGTGTTTACACTGGGGTATGTTTTGTCCTTATGTGTTTACACTGTGGTATATTTTGTCCTTTTGTGTTGACGCTATGGTATGTTTTGTCCTTGTTTGTTGACACTGTGGTATGTTTTGTCCTTGTGCCTTGACACTGTAGCATAGTTTGTCCTTTTGTGTTGACACTATGGCAGAACCGGTTTTAGTGTGTGGACGCTGTAGTATATCTTGTCCTTTTGTGTTGACGCTGTGGTATGTTTTGTCCTTGTGTGTTGACGCTGGTGTAGAAATGGTCTTAGTGTGTAGGCGCTGTAGTATATCTTGTCCTTGTGTGTTTAAACTGGGGTATGTTTTGTCCCTGTGTGTTGACACTGTGGTATGTTTTGTCTTTGTGCGTTGACACTGTAGCATAGTTTGTCCTTTTGTGTTGACGCTATGGCAGAACCGGTCTTAGTGTGTGGACGCTGTAGTATATCTTGTCCTCGTGTGTTTACACTGGGGTATGTTTTGTCCTTGTGTGTTGACACTGTGGTATGTTTTGTCCTTGTGCGTTGACACTGTAGCATAGTTTGTCCTTTTGTGTTGACGCTGTGGTAGAACCGGTCTTAGTGTGTGGACGCTGTAGTATATCTTGTCCTTGTGTGTTTACACTGGGGTATGTTTTGTCCTTGTGTGTTGACACTGTGGTATGTTTTGTCCTTGTGNCACGTTTGTCGTATCACTACCATGTATTCACGTTTGTCGTATCACTACCATGTATTCACGTTTGTCGTATCACTACCATGTATTCACGTTTGTCGTATCACTACCATGTATTCACGTTTGTCGTATCACTACCATGTATTCACGTTTGTCGTATCACTACCATGTATTCACGTTTGTCGTATCACTACCATGTATTCACGTTTGTCGTATCACTACCATGTATTCACGTTTGTCGTATCACTACCATGTATTCACGTTTGTCGTATCACTACCATGTATTCACGTTTGTCGTATCACTACCATGTATTCACGTTTGTCGTATCACTACCATGTATTCACGTTTGTCGTATCACTACCATGTATTCACGTTTGTCGTATCACTACCATGTATTCACGTTTGTCGTATCACTACCATGTATTCACGTTTGTCGTATCACTACCATGTATTCACGTTTGTCGTATCACTACCATGTATTCACGTTTGTCGTATCACTACCATGTATTCACGTTTGTCGTATCACTACCATGTATTCACGTTTGTTGTATAACTACCATGTATTCACTTTCACACGACATCAATCGGTGTATGAACACACGTGTTATAACAGCTGTGATTGGTTGTATGTTTCAATTGTTTCAAATGGAATATTTTAACTTTGTGACGTTACAGATTTTCGATTGCAATGTGACGTCAAAAAAGAAGACTCGAAGTAAAATATCTATACAAGAATTTAATTCAGCCGTAGAAAAAGTTGACGAGTATTTAAAACAAACTTTGGTATTGATAAACAGAATCTTACATTCCCTTTAAAACACGCGCTCTATGAACTTGTCATGTGCTTTGATTGTTCTCACAGGAAGGGCCCTAAAAGCAAAAGTTCACTGACTCGATTAGTAAGCCTTTATGACAGGATATTCATTAAATATCCCCCATTTAGCAGTTCTTTATGAAATGAGGTTAATGTTTCTAAAAACCAAGTAAGATGCTTATTCCGTTACAAATTATTCATCTTCATCATTACATCTATAACGCTCATCTAATCATCTATAATTTATAAACATTTACCCCTGAAGTCACATTTGAACTCTTCAAATTCAAAGTTTGGAATAGTTCATTATGAAATTTCAAGGGTGAATGTGCTAAACCCACGAGATGTCCAAAATATTTTGAGGTCGCCTGTAATTAAGTAGATTGGTGAAATAATTTCTCAAATTATTAACAGAGACCATCACAACAATTTGGACAGACAAATGCTGTCTGGACAACAGGACCGACAGCGGCACGAAGCGGCTATCGTTACGCCTTTATCGACTCCTCGTACGACGTAAATGCCGCCATGGAAGTAAAACATAGCTTTACAGGTGAGTATAGATAAATATGTAGGGGATATTTACAGCTGAGTATAGATAAATATGTAGGGGATATTTACAGGTGAGTATAGATAAATATGTAGGGGATACTTAACGGTGAGTATAGATAAATCTGTAGGGAATATTTACAGGTGAGTATAGATAAATATGTAGGGGATATTTACAGGTGAGTAAAGATAAATATGTAGGGGATATTTACAGGTGAGTATAGATAAATATGTAGGGGATATTTACAGGTGAGTATAGATAAATATGTAGGGGATATTTACAGGTGAGTATAGATAAATATGATGGGGATATTTAACGGTGAGTATAGATAAATATGTAGGGGATATTTAACGGTGATTATAGATAAATATGTAGGGGATATCTACAGGTGAGTATAGATAAATATGTAGGGGATATTTAACGGTGAGTATAAATACATATGTAGGGGATATTTAAAGGTGAGTATAGATGAATATGTAGGGGATATTTAACGGTTTCACGTTAAATGCCATCCATATTTCAAAGGTATGGCAGAATACAGATATGTTTCACATAAAAACCGACGAAAATATTGTTGCATCAAAAAGGTATTAGATAAGTAGCGTGATTTTTGACGCCAAATTATATTGACATCGAGTTTGACAGCAAGGCTGTGTGCCATTTTGAATTGGCTTTTCACCGCAATTCTACCTTTGTTTATTATGTTCTGGTAGAATTTGCTGACACACATGTCATCAATTACGTAGGTATGTTATTAAGTTAGTTTATGTGCCAAATATGTACAAAAACAACAACGTATTATACCGCCGCGTCATGTGCAGTTAAACTGAGCATTTTACTATTGTCTAATGGTCTCTATGTAAATCTTTCCTTTGTTAATGTTTTGCCCTATTCCGAGTTCGTATTTGTTATTCTTTTGTTGTTTTATTGTGTAGGTGTGGGAGAAAATGGAATTTTACAAACCCTCCGTTCTTAACTAAATTCTACATCCCCGGTATAATTCCCGTATCACGCCATACTTTCATGTATTTACATGTCTCCCTTCTTCAGCTTTGTAAACTGCACAGTGAAAAAAGGCTCGGCGGATTGATACTTATTTCAAATATGGCGCCGTTCACGCTTCGGCGAGATAACAGTCCAATGACCACCTATGGTTGGTCCATTCACCATCTAGATACATTGAACATAATCGGGATCCGTCATGTATAACTATACAACGAAAGAGTGCTGACAAATGTCTTATTCCATGGATGCATATTATTATTTCTTTGGCTGTAACGTCAACAATGGCGGCTTCATTCTGAAACATTCGACCGCGTCACTCCATGAGCAGTGTGTTAATGCGTGGACATGATGACCGTTGTAAATGAATAGAAAGGTTCGAAGGGCTTCTCACATTGCCTATTTTAAAATTTGAAAACCATGAAATTAAAAACTCTGAATGGAAACCAGTCGTGTTGTTCACTGCGTATTTTCTAAATTGATGTAGATTCACTGGAACTATGTTGTCCTAGCAAACATTGCTACCGTAGTTACCATCGTGGCAACCCGCTTTTCTGCGTAATGTAGCATTTAAATGTTTTATTAATGTAAATATAAGGATTGACCTTCATTTTGACGGCGTATACGATAGTATGAACGCAGTTGGCAACAAACATATTCTTTATGGAGCGCTAACGCGCACCATAGAATATGTTCGTTACCAACTGCATTCATACTACCGTATATGCCCTCAAAATGAAAGTCAATCCTTAAATGAAAGATGAATAAAAAATAATTATTCTGATGATTATATGTATCATTAGAATATTTAAAGTTTAGATGTTTTATATTTGTTTATATATTTAGTTCTTTTCAAGTTAAAACGTGACAGCTTAACTCATTCACCCCTGAACTTTTCATAATGAACTATCCCAACCTTTGAATTGGAAGAGTTCAAATGTGTCTTCAGGTTAAGAGGGAAGATGCTGGATTTCAAGAATGCACCATTTCTACTCAAAGAAATATTCGCTATATTTGACTTAATGTGACATTTATTTTATAGGACCAGCTTGCGTTTCCATTGGCTATCACATGAACGGGAATAACATAGGAACTCTCTCTGTGAGGCTGGTTGATGAAAATGGCGCCAATGAGGAGTTGGCCTGGAGCATTACTGGTCCACAGGGAAATCAGTGGCATTATACTGAATTTGATATTAAAAATGTCACTAATAGAAGGGTAATTTATTTAAAACATCGCATTGCAAAGCTAATGTTGTGATATATCTTCGAACAATTAAACGCTTTGCTTCCTAGTAAATCAGGAAAATGTGACCTACACTGAACTATTAAATATTCTTCGGTGTATGATCCGAATTGACATGGAGCTCATCTGACGTTTGAAAGCGTTAACAAAATAATCACATGTACATATTTTGTGCGTGAACTTCTGTTAAATTAAATCAGAACTATTTTCGAAACCTGTTGGAAATTCTAGACCAACCTGTTCGTGAATAACACATAAGAAAAAAGTTATTTAAAAAGGAAGGACATGAAATGTTCCACGTTTCTTCTTGGAAAAGTACCATAACTGTAATGTATGACCGTCAATCAGACTACATACATGTCTATATGTCGCTGAACTATATACAGTATTAATGATAATATCAGGTATGGTCACTTTAGTCTATCAAATGCTTGGGATTAACCTTTAAAGTGTGTTTTCGCGGTTTTTGTTTACTGTGAAATAATATGTATTTGTGGTGTCCACATTTCGTGGTTTCTCAAATAATCACAATTTCGGAGGTACACATACGGAGAATTTCGTGGACCAATTAAATTTTAAATGAAGTTTACCCACGAAATTGTAAAACCCACGGATATTAGGTGATTTTACAGTTTACGTTATATCTAAACATTAAAGCCTACGAATTGTATAATAAGATTAAAGTTGACGATAATTGTACATATGTAATAAGGTTCTCCTCGCTATATAGGGCATTGCATATCTCGTTCTTTTATGTACGTTATTTTATTGCCCAGTGTTATAAAATAAGTTTCATTGCAGTTGTAACATGACCATGCAGTAATAGTATAACTAATCATGTTTCAGATTATCATTACTGCTGACAAGGGTAACAACACACCTGACGACGAGGGAGACATCGGCATTGACGACATCATGGTTCTCAACCAGCCTTGTGGTACGTAATAATAGTAAAACCGAACCCCGACCCGAATCCCGGTGGATCTCCCAGCTCAGTAGGCACCAGCCTAGAACTATATCATGGTAGTCGAAACCTTTTCATCAAATAAATGCAGGGGCCAAATTGAATTATAATACGCAAAGGGGTCGTTTCAAAAAAGAACATAATAATAAAGCTTGTATTTACAAATTTTACATTTAAAAGAAATATTTTGAAAATAAGCAGTTAACAACTCAACAATATCTGTAGATTCCGGACCTATAATGTGATATCATTGCCAGTGCTGATATTGTTCTCCCTTTAACTCTCGTGGAGATTATGCCTCCTTTCACTACTTTTCCCCTTAAACTTTCTTTTAATCTCTGCTAGTTATCATTCAACTCATGTTCAGATTATATTGTCGTGTACCAGTCATCCTTCAACTCTTGTTCAGATACCACTGTTGTTTACTAGTCATCCTTCAAATCTCGTTCAGATTCTACTGTTGTTCACTAGCTGTTCCTTCAACTCTCGTTCAAACTGTTGTTTACTAGCTTTCCCGTAAAGTCTCGTTCAGACACTACTGTTTTTCACTAGCTGTTCCTTCAACATTCGTTCAGACTCTAGTGTCGTTTACTAGATGTCCGTTAAACTCTCGTTCAGATTCTACTGCCATTCACTAGATTTCCCTTAAACTCTCGTTCAGACTCTACTGTCATTCACTAGATTTCCCTGAAACTCTCGTTCAGACTCTACTGTCATTCACTAGCTTTCCCTTAAACTCTCGTTCAGATGCTATTGACATTTAATAGATGTCCCGTAAACTCTCGTTCAGATGCTATTGACATTTAATAGATGCCCCGTAAACTCTCGTTCAGACTCTACTGTCGTTAACTAGATGGCCCTTAAAGTCTCGTTCAGATGCTATTGACATTTAATAGATGTCCCGTAAACTCTCGTTCAGATGCTATTGACATTTAATAGATGTCCCGTAAACTCTCGTTCAGACTCTACTGTCGTTAACTAGATGGCCCTTAAAGTCTTAAAATTATTTAACATGTAGATCACTATAAACTATTTATTTATTTTATGGAAGAGTAATTTGTGATAAGTGTTGTAACTTGCGTGTCTTTTGATTTTATCAAATGAAATATATTCATACATACTTATTTATGCATTTCAGAATAATAAACGGATGGAGACAGAAAAACACCGTTAGTTTGAGGTTATCGTGATCTTTCTTACATTAAGATTGTTTTGGGTCACTCGTTGAATAATTTGTCATTTTGACCATCCTGAAAAAGAAAAGTTGTTTTCTATTTTTGGACTCTCTTTTCATCTATGTCGTATTCAATATAAAATATTCAGTTACAACTTATTTTTGGTGTTAATCATTTTCTCCAAATATCTTGAACATGATATTCAATATATGTTTATATTGACTTTCTGTTTTTCAAATATCCAAATATATAAGAAAAAAACACACGCCTTAAGTGTATTAGCAATACTGTGTCATATAGATGTAATGACCACACTAATTCTTCATGAAAACATGCAGTGTGGTGTCCTACAAATTCAATGTATTTGTTCACTTCGCAAAGGAGACGTAATGGTAGTCTTGCATGTCCCTGTTACAGCAATTCAATCGAATAAAAAGCTACGTTTAAAGACCTTATGAGAGTTCAGAGTTTAGCTGTCCACTATGTTTAAACTAGGGTTGTCAAACCGGACGAAAATCAGTAACTGGTTACTCGAAAAATCTTCCGAACAAATTACCGGTTAATCGGTCTGTTTGGTGATAATCAAACAACATAAAAAAATACATTATATGTTTAGCATATTTAACCATTTCCCAAATTCGCATTCTGACTTGCTTTAACAAGAGGCCCAATGGGCCTGCATTGCTTGCTTGGTAGCCCTTCATCCCAGCATGCTACTGATTAAATATCATCAATAGAAGCCTTTCGGTTATTGAGAAGCAGGCGTTTGAAGATTTTAAGACATTTGACTCCTATGACATCGAAAATTTGTCAAGGTCATCCATTTGAACAAACTTTGTAGCCCTTCATCCCAGCATGCTACTGGTTAAATATCATCACTTGAGGCATTTCGGTTATTGAGAAGAAGTCGTTTGAAGATTTTAAGACATTTGACTTCTATGACATCGAAAATTGGTCAAGGTCATTCATTTGAACACACTTTGTAGCCCTTCATCCCAGCATGCTACAGGCCCAATATCAGTACCATGGACCTTTTGGTTATTGAGAAGTTGTTGAAGATTTTGAGACATTTGACGCCTGTGACCTTGAAAGTGGGACAAGGTCATTCATTTGAACAAACTTTGTAGCCCTTCATCCCAGCATGCTACTGGTTAAATATCCTCACTTAAGGCATTTCGGTTATTGAGAAGAAGTCGTTTGAAGATTTTAAGACATTTGACCCCTATGACATTAAAAATTGGTCAAGGTCATTCATTTGAACAAACTTTGTAGCCCTTCATCACATAATGCTACAGGCCCAATATCAGTACCCTGGGACTTTTGGTTATTGAGAAGAAGTTGTTTGAAGATTTTAAGACATTTGAGCCATGTGACCTTGAAAAATGGTCAAGGTCATTCATTTGAACAAACTTTGTAGCCCTTCATCCAAGCAGGCTACAGGCCCTATATCAGTATCCGAGGCCTTTTGGTTATTGAAAAGTTGTTTGAAGATTTTAACATATTTGAACCATGTGACCTTGAAAGTGGATAAAGGTCATTCATTTGAACAAACTTTGTAACCCTTCATCCCAGCATGCTACTGCCGAAGTATCATCACCAGATGCCTTTCGGTTATTGAGAGGACGTCGTTTGAAGATTTTAAGACATTTGACCCCTGTGACATTAAAAATTGGTCAAGGTCATTCATTTGAACAAACTTGGTAGGGGGGGGGGTCAATACATGTCTGACTAGTCGGTTATTGATTTTGGTAACCGGTTTGGTCCTCCGACCGAGTAACCGGTTAACAACCCTTGTTTAAACTAGGTCTTTTCGCTTCTTCTGTCAGTTGTACGTATATAATGAGATACAAATAAAACTACATGAGAGACTAAATACTATAGTGGGTATGTAGTAACTAGCGATCTAAATACTGTCGTGGGTATGTAGTAACTAGCGATCTAAATACTGTACTGGGTATATAGTAACTAGCGATCTAAATACTGTAGTGGGTATTGTAGTAACTAGCGATCTAAATACTGTAGTGGGTATATAGTAACTAGCGATCTAGATACTGTAGTGGGTATGTAGTAATTAGCGATCTAAATACTATAGTGGGTATGTAGTAACTAGCGATCTACATTCTGTAGTGGGTATGTAGTAATTAGCTATCTAAATACTGTAGTGGGTATTGTAGTAACTAGCGATCTAAATACTGTCGTAGTGGGTATGTAGTAATTAGCGATCTAAATACTGTAGTGGGTATATAGTAACTAGCGATCTAGATACTGTAGTGGGTATGTAGTAATTAGCGATCTAAATACTGTAGTTGGTATGTAGTAACTAGCGATCTAAATACTGTAGGGGGTATGTAGTAATTGGCGATCTAAATACTGTAGTGGGCATATAGTAACTAGCGATCTAAATACTGTAGTGGGGATGTAGTAACTAGCGATCTAAATACTGTAGTGGGGATGTAGTAACTAGCGATCTAAATACTGTAGTGGGGATGTAGTAACTAGCGATCTAAATACTGTAGTGGGGATGTAGTAACTAGCGATCTAAATACTGTAGTGGGGATGTAGTAACTAGCGATCTAAATACTGTAGTGGGTATATAGTAACTAGCGATCTAAATACTGTAGGGGGTATGTAGTAATTGGCGATCTAAATACTGTAGAGGGCATATAGTAACTAGCGATCTAAATACTGTAGCGGGTATGTAGTAACTAGCGATCTAAATACTGTACTGGGTATATAGTAACTAGCGATCTAAATACTGTAGCGGGTATGTAGTAACTAGCGATCTAAATACTGTAGTGGGTATGTAGTAATTGGCGATCTAAATACTGTAGTGGGTATATAGTAACTAGCGATCTAAATACTGTAGTGGGTATGTAGTAATTAGCGATCTAATTACTATAGTGGGTATGTAGTAACTAGCGATCTAATTACTGTAGTGGGTATGTAGTAATTGGCGATCTAAATACTGTAGTGGGTATGTAGTAGCTAGCGATCTAAATACTGTAGCGGGTATTGTAGTAACTAGCAATCTAAATACTGTAGCGGGTATGTAGTAACTAGTGTAGTAACTAGCGATCTAAATACTGTGGCGGGTATGTAGTAACTAGCGATCTAAATTCTGTAGTGGGTATGTAGTAACTAGCGATCTAAATACTATAGTGGGTATGTAGTAACTAGCGATCTAATTACTGTAGTGGGTATGTAGTAATTGGCGATCTAAATACTGTAGTGGGCATATAGTAACTAGCGATCTAAATACTGTAGGGGGTATGTAGTAGCTAGCGATCTAAATACTGTAGCGGGTATGTCGTAACTAGCGATCTAAATACTGTAGCGGGTATGTAGTAACTAGCGATCTAAATTCTGTAGTGGGTATGTAGTAACTAGCGATCTAAATACTATAATGGGTATGTAGTAACTAGCGATCTAAACACTGTAGGGGGTATGTAGTAACTAGCGATCTAAATTCTGTAGTGGGTATGTAGTAACTAGCGATCTAAACACTGTAGTGGGTATGTAGTAACTAGCGATCTAAACACTGTAGGGGGTATGTAGTAACTAGCGATCTAAATTCTGTAGCGGGTATTGTAGTAACTAGCGATTTAAATACTATAGTGGGTATGTAGTAACTAGCGATCTAATTACTGTAGTGGGTATGTAGTAATTGGCGATCTAAATACTGTAGAGGGCATATAGTAACTAGCGATCTAAATACTGTAGTTGGTATGTAGTATCTAGCGATCTAAATACTGTAGTTGGTATGTAGTAACTAGCGATCTAAATATTGTAGTGGGTATGTAGTAACTAGCGATCTAATTACTGTAGTGGGTATGTAGTAATTGGCGATCTAAATACTGTAGTGGGCATATAGTAACTAGCGATCTAAATACTGTAGTGGGTATGTAGTAATTAGCTATCTAAATACTGTAGCGGGTATTGTAGTAACTAGCGATCTAAATACTATAATGGGTATGTAGTAACTAGCGATCTAAACACTGTAGGGGGTATGTAGTAACTAGCGATCTAAATTCTGTAGCGGGTATTGTAGTAACTAGCGATCTAAATACTGTACTGGGTATATAGTAACTAGCGATCTAAATACGGTAGTGGGTATGTAGTAACTAGCGATCTAAATACTGTAGCGGGTATGTAGTAACTAGCGATCTAAATACTATAATGGGTATGTAGTAACTAGCGATCTAAATACTGTAGTGGGTATGTAGGAACGAGAGATCTAAATACTGCAGTGGGTATGTAGTACCTAGCGATCTAAATACTGTAGCGGGGATGTAGTAACTAGCGATCTAAATACTGTAGCGGGTATGTGGTAACTAGCGATCTAAATACTGTAGCGGGTATTGTAGTAACTAGCGATCTAAATACTATAGTGGGTATGTAGTAACTAGCGATCTAAATGCTGTAGCGGGTATGTAGTAACTAGCGATCTAAATTCTGTAGTGGGTATGTAGTAACTAGCGATCTAAATGCTGTAGCGGGTATGTAGTAACTAGCGATCTAAATACTGTACTGGGTATGTAGTAACTGGTATGTAGTAACTAGCGATCTAAATACTGTAGCGGGTATTGTAGTAACTAGCAATCTAAATACTGTAGCGGGTATGTAGTAACTAGCGATCTAAATACTATAATGGGTATGTAGTAACTAGCGATCTAAATACTGGAGTGGGTATGTAGTAACGAGAGATCTAAATACTGCAGTGGGTATGTAGTACCTAGCGATCTAAATACTGTAGCGGGGATGTAGTAACTAGCGATCTAAATACTGTAGTTGGTATGTAGTAACTAGAGATCTAAATACTGTAGCGGGTATGTAGTAACTAGCGATCTAAATTCTGTAGTGGGTATGTAGTAACTAGCGATCTAAATGCTGTAGCGGGTATGTAGTAACTAGCGATCTAAATACTGGAGTGGGTATGTAGTAACGAGAGATCTAAATACTGCAGTGGGTATGTAGTAACTAGCGA